AAGAGATCTTTAACACTAGTAACCTGTCGCCATGTTACGCTGTCTTTAACAAAATTTGGGGGCAATTTGAAGTTCTCAGGGAGATATGGGCGGTTATCTGCCAGGATGATTTAGCCCTCATTGGCCTTTTGGATATATTTTTAAAGCTGGGTCAACAGAGAAGTGGCCCAGTCTGTAGCTGTTACAAGCCTGGCCGCCGGCTAGCGCTAGTCAGAAATTTACTTTTGAGCTTCTTTCTATCTTCCTGTACTGCCTTTTACTCCCCTGGCGTTTTTTCTCTGACTTTACACTATTTAATCTAATAAAGAGGCTATGAAAGGGATGAAATCACTCAATTAGCCTGCTAACTTCAGTTAGCAGGTGGATTTTTCTTGGTCGTAGCAGGAAATAAGTGCACACAGTTATTGCAAAGACTGTTTGTACATTACCTCCTGTGTCTGTTCTGCAAACAATTTCACTTTAGTTTATAGAAGGTTAAATAAATGGCTTTTATTCAGCTTTCTGTCTGCATCAAATTGTCAATATTATAACTGCTCTCAGCGTGAAGATATTACTAGGCTGAGAGTACTTCTGATGCACAGGTTGATCAGCTATTTTATGATCTTTGCAAGGAAAAATATGGTAAAAGAAACAATTGTCTGCTGTATTAAAAATCCAGTAAGGTGATCATGAGAGCGGAGGTGACGGCCCGCTGGGCTTACGTGGCTGTGTCTGTTCCACTGTTTACCAGATGTTGGCAGTGATGCACAGTTTTATTGTTTTTTTTTGTCCAAAAGGGACATCAAATAAACAGATTATAAGTTTTCTAGCGTTTAAAGTGTTTAGTGTGGATGGAGAGTTATCTGCAAAATACACGAAAACATTGGTATGGTGCAAGTCCCTCTTAATCGTAAACTGCGTTTTTAATTGCCGCGTGGTGTAGACGTTAGCCTGGTGAGCAAGTGAATGAGTGAAGGAAGGGAGGGAAAGAGTGGCGGTGAGTGCGTGGGGATGGAGGATTGCAGGGCTCAAGGGTAATCTGGGGAGTTATGCAGCTTAGAGGGACTGAGAGGGTGGGAGGGGGTAGAGGGAGAGAGAAGAAAGAGAGAAGGGAGAGAGGGGGAGTGATGCAGAGGGAGAAAGAATATAAAACATAATAGGTCAGCAGGGAAAGAGGGAGAGAGAAGGATAAATGAAGATGTATCAGAACAAAAGCGGAGCAACTGAGGGGGAGAATGAGAGAAAAGAGAGGTACGGGAGTGTACAGCTGGGAGATAGGAGAGTGGAGGGAGAGAGTGAGAGCCGAGTGAGTGTGTGAGATAAAGAGTGGGCTAATGAAAGGTAGGGTGAGGCTGAGCGAGTTGTGGGTAGGAGGGAAGTCGACAGCAGAGAGAGAGACGAGAAAGAGAGAGAGAGAGAGAGATGAGAGAGAGAGAGAGAGAGAGAGAGAGCGGGGGAGAGGTCTGCATGGGGAAAGAATGCTGGGTGGGGAAGGAAGGCAGACACGCAGGGCTTTGTGCTAAAAGCAAAGAGAGAGCGATGGAGAGATTGGGAGAGAGAGAGGTTATGTCTTGGCTTCATGCACAGGGGAGGATCTGGTGAGCGGGCACGTGCCCAAAAGCCCCGTCCAGCCCGGTCCAGGGTCGTATTTGAAGGGTGAGGTGGAGAGGAGGGATAATGGAAAGTAGAGGAGGAAAACGACAAAGACTCTGGGTGGGGATGCTGTACAGGGTTATTGGTGTGTGGGTTAACACACTCTCCAACACACACTGACCAGCTCAGAAGCTTGAGGCAACTAACTAGCCATAATTACTTCTTTACTGCTCCCTGGAAATTAATTTAAGATGAGTTTAGCAACCAAACAAAGTTGGCAAAATCAACATATTTCCAGCTGGACATTCTGGAGTGGATTACAAAATCAAAACAGGAAAAATAAATGTTAAAACACAATGGGGGGGAGGCATTTGAATTTGTTCAGTAAGACGGGCAGTATTGAGGAAACTATATCTCCATCTTAAGCCCAAATAGCCACAAGGATCTGTGTATCATTTGCTCATGTGTGCAAAAAATTAATGACTGTGTGCACCTTAAAGTGCGCCGACTGCATGTGGTGAAACTGTCCGAGTACACAGGCACTCAATGAAGGATGTACAAACCAGCTGAGGGGGGGGGGGTTGTGTTTATTTTCTC